TTGAAGCTGCATCATCGCCAGATAGGCGCAATGAGAATGTGCCGCCAGTGTCGCATGTGGGGGATCTCAGGGTAAGCACGGAGCTCGAATCTTGCAGGCGGGTTTCTGATAAACAGCAAATATCGATCGATAGGGTCTCTAGTGTGCGGGCAAGTGCTGCCTGTTGGCCAATCTGTAGCAAAGTGCGCACGTTGAGGCATGCCAATCTTAGCGAGACACGAGGACTCCAAAGGGAAACGGATGAACTGACGTTGTCCGCTTGGTTGAACATGGACTTATCGACTGGATTGGAGCGAGGCCATGCGATTGTGTGTGATTTGAAATTAGAAGACAAGCGACTATTGAAGTAAGCTGGGGGAGGGCCAAGAATTGGGGGATTGAAAATGGGGGGGATATAAGTAAAGTTGGAGCGGGACGATAAGGATGCAGAAGCGCAAGAAGGGGTATAAGAAGACGGGAAGGCCTGAGCAGTAGCATCCAAACCCCTATCCACCCTGCTCGATGCAGCAGATAGGGCGCCGTTTATTATCCTCTGCGACGGCCAGAGCATCAAGAAATTGTTGTAGGAAAGGTTCATTGTATTGCGTGGGCAGAATACTGTCAGGTTGCCCAGGCCTAGACAGGAGAACGATTAGGGTTCTCAACCAAAGCCTTTGGTTCAAAAACCTTACCGCAAGGCAGCGGGTTTTGGCACTGGACTACAGAGCCCGTTTTATGAAATGAGGAGCCACCCCCATTCCAACCCCCAACCTGGAGGACCAGGAGGCTGAGTTTGTCTGGCCTCTAACCATTGACCAATCTGGTATGAGTGGCTCTAAAGGTGCAAAACAAAGCACCACCCAGCATAGCTCAATGGATCTCTGAGGCACGCAAACCATCGCACCACGGTAAGGTCCAGCCTCATTGCGATGGGGTCCAGCCTCATTGCCTCATTCACCGGCCGAGAGACCTTGTTCAATGAGAGTCGCTGATGTGGGACAGTATCAAAGGCTTTCGAGAAGTCAACGAAAAGCACGTTGATGGCGTGGCCGTTGTCTACTGCCTCAGCCCAGCTTTCACGAGCTACAAGCAAATTTGTCAGACATGCAAATCCCTTACGGAATCCGTGCTGGGCCGCACTGAGAAGGTTAAACTTAATCAGGTGATTCTCCACCGAATCCCTGACCAATTTTTCAAACAACTTAACTACTACGCTTGTTAAGCTGACAGGCCGGTAGTTCGCGGGCAGAACTCTGTCCCCGCCCTTAAAAATCGGACAGATGATTGCCTTCTTCCATTCAGAAGGTAAGGCACAGCTGTCGAGTGATATTGTAAACATGCATGTCAGAGGGCCACTTAGCTCAGCGGCCAATTCATGCATCAGCTTCGGATGAATTGAATCAGGGCCAGAAGCTTTGGAAGGATTTAGCCCTTGCAATAGCCTGAAGACTTGTCTCCGTTATGCTTATTTCAGTTAGGCAAGAATCCTCCGGAACTTTAGTGACCAGCTCAACTTGAGGTAGAGAGGCCTCATGTAAACATTATCAAAGCGCTGTACGCACATAGTTCGGGCAGGGTGAGGGTTTATGGCAAACTCTCGCCACCCTTCAGTATCACCAGCGGTGTGAGACAAGGATGCCCGCTGTCACCTTTCCTCTTCAACTTCGCTATTGATGAAGTCATGGAAACAGCGTTCGCTGGACACGACCTAGAAGGTGTGGAGCTACTCCCTGGTGAGCGACTTCTTGACTTGGAGTATGCAGACGATATTGCCCTAATCTGTGACAGCTCCCAAACATGCCAAACAGCACTGAACCGATTAGCACTGGTTGTCAGTCGTTTTGGGCTATGCTTTGCTCCATCAAAATGCAAAGTACTACTCCAAGATTGGCAGGGACCCAACCCTGCGCTAACACTTGCTGGTGATCTGCTAGAAGTCGTTCAGGAATTCAAATACCTGGGCAGCTATATTAGCACCCGTGGGATTGAAGATGAGGTTACGAACCGTATAGCAAAAGCTCGAGGTGCTTTTGCCAATCTCCGCCACCTGTGGCGCAGACGCGACATTACTCTCGCCCTCAAGGGCAGAGTTTACAACGCAGCCGTCCGTTCAACTCTCCTATATGGCTGTGAAACCTGGCTAATCAGGTCGACAGACATGAAGAGACTCGTCACGTTCGATCATCGCTGCCTTCGCAGCTTAGCTCATGTCTGGTGGGAACACCGCGTGAGCAATGAACGTGTTCGGCGTCGCGTATTTTGTGCAGGAAGAGCGAGTGAACCGCTCAGCACGATTATATCACGCACCAGGCTCCGATGACTGGGCCACGTGTTGCGCATGCCAGCACACCGACTCCCACGACGTGCATTGTTTGCGCGTTGTGGGTGCGGTTGGAAGAGGAGGAGGGGAGGCCAAGTGATGACTTGGTCGCGAGAAATGAAAACCCTCACTTCGAAGTTGGCGTCGGTTGGTGCATCTAGACTGCCTGGCTGGGGTCCTAAGGACGGTGAACACGCTTGGCTGGACACACTTGCTGATATGGCTAGGAGCCGGCCCCAATGGCGTTTGGGTTGCGAGTTCCTTTGTCCATCCCCCTCCTGTTTAGCATCCCCCTCCAATCACGATCTCAAACGTTAGGCATAATATGACTTTCTTTTACGGCAGCCAGCTGTTAGCTCTCCGGAATTATGTCCATCCAGTACTGGGGACTCATCGGGCGTGCCACTGTTTGTTTGTTTTTTCTTTTCTTGCCTTTTGTATTGCGGCACAATAGCTGAGGTGTTCTCCACCTCCAGCTAACGTGTAATGATGATGAGAACCTAGAGGAGCAGTTTGGTTCTTGAGAATAACACTACGAGGAAGCGACAGTCAGGGTGCGGCCATGCAAACGAAGGACGGCCATCACAATGAATCGAGCAAGACACATAGTGCGTAAAATTACCGAAGGGATTGCAGAGGTTTCAAGTGTACGGAACATGGTTGAACAGAGTATGCGGTTGAGTAACACAGATGGCATGGGAACACATGGATGTATGACGTGATATCTTGGCTCCAAGGAAAGTTTAAGTTCAAGTTAGAGTGGGACTGGAACGATAGGAGATTCCCGTGAGTGTTCCATCTTGCGTCGATCGTTGACACAGGAATTGATGAGGTGCATAAAGTTATGGATGGGGCTAAAACGGAACACCCGTATCGCACCCTGGCCAACCAGTTAATGCCCACATTGCCTCCTGTAGCAGTCTCTGTCACGTGAAGTAAGAAAATGAGGGGAAGAGAAATCGAACGTACAGAATAAGGGCACTTAAACTAAGAAAATGATACCAATGCGTGAAGAAAAGAAACTCGAATTACGAAGGAGGTTTCGTGTTGCCACCCAGGAGCGTCAAGTTGCTGTTCAAATCCCTTAACCGTAGACTCGTAGATAACACTTCCCAGAAGCATGTTCCAGCGCTCCATGACTCGGCGTGACAGCCGGATTTCCGCCCTAGTCCGATCGGACCGCGGTTTGCCAATTTCAGGGAATGACCGCGCAGAACAGACAATCTGGCGGGGCTGAATAGCCAAGATAAGTCTGAACCAACCTACTTAGTTAGGATACCGTACGTTAGGATTAGATCTCCTCTAAGCCCTCGGTTGTGCATTGAATGCATTCACAAACTCAGTAGACGCTCGATGTACGTCCGTCCCCCTAATTCCTTGACTAACCTAGCACCCACCCACAAAACCCTCTCTAGCGCTAGTTTGGCCCGGACGATGCAGGACAGACGACCCTGGAAGCAGCATTCCAGATGAGACCAAACGAAAGCCGAGAACAGTCTCGTAAAGATGCCGCCTGTCAAGACTTCGAAAGAACGTCGTATTAACCACAACCTGCGGAAACATTTGCTTGCGGCCATCTTCCAGTTGTCGCCGGAGTGTAAAACCGAAGAGTGTACGACTCCTAGATCAACGTGGCTAGATACACAGGGGAGTTCGACCCCACCGACCAAGCACTTCGCAGGAGGACAACCTCCTCCAAATCGAAGAACGGAGCACTTTGCAGGATCTCTGAACAGTAACAATAAAGTAGACCAGTCCCAAAGCTTATCCATTGCTCGCTGAATAGCTTCGGAACCCCCAGGAACATCGATAATGCTCTACAGCTTCAGGTCACCAGAAAATAGCAGCGATGGTACCTCAAGCCCCGCAGGTCGGTCATTCACATAGATGAAGAACAGCAGCGGTCCACGTCCTGCGGCACGCTACTGGGGATAGACCGCATAAACGATAGGCCTCAGCCTACTCGTACACACTGTTCTCCACCCTCAAAGAATGCAGTCATTCAGTGAAGGGCGCCGCCAGATACCCCGCAGGGGGTTAGCATTTGCGAGAGCCTCTAATGGGGTACCTTGTCAAATGCCTTCGAAAATTCGGCGAAAAGCACCTCCAGGGCGTGACCGCCCGACTTTCGCAAGCCACTGGTGGATTCGTCAGACACGAAAATCCCTTCCGGAATCCGTTGCACATTGTTAAGTAGATTGAATCTACTCTGATGCCTATCCAATGAATCACCAATTTCTAAAGGAGTTTGACTACTACACTCGCCAGCCTGTAATTTGCAGTCAGACTCCTGTCCTTAATTTTGGAAGATGGCAATTCACAGCTGTCACGCGATTGCTGAAACACCATAGCGAGCGTTCCAATTAGTTCTGCAGCCAACTGGATACACTGACAGCGAGCGTTAGAAACCAGGATGCAAGACACCGGGGTATTCTCCGAGAACTATTTAACCGGTTACCCACACTTCACTGCCACCTTACTGAGACTGTGTACTTACCAAACGGGACACTTTGGACGTACACACAAAACGTACCAAGTATCCCGAACGAGTATTGAAGTATTGCGTTAACGAAATGCAGCCAGCACCAACCCCGCTGATCCCGGACGGGGTTATCTGCGATATGAAGACAAAACGCCTGCCAGTCGGGAACTTGCTATGGGCACTAGTTTACCTGTTCCCAGTGTACTGAGAAGACAGAAACCGGCTAAAATTGTTTTATGAAATTCTCGTATATGCAGGTGAACGACAATGCTCCAAATTGACGCTGAATAAGCCTCAGGGACAAAGATCAGCGTCTCAACAATATTGACAAAATGTGCATATATACGCCGATCTCGGGAGTCAACAACCGAGGAGAAGACAGTGCGGTGTTATAAACGATGAAAAGTGTTATCAAAAAGTGTAAATGCAGTGAGTTAAAAATGCAGATAGTTATTCTTTGTCTTCCTCATTGCTCTCAGAGTTTGGAGCGGACTGTTCGTCGTCGGAGTCAGGGCATTTAGTATCTTCAGGACGAGTGTTACAAAGATAAAGACTTACCCTTCGCCTCCAAGCTACCGTTCAGTTCATCCTCTGCTTTGGTTCCTTCGTCGTGTTCATCAGCATCTGTAACAACCGAAAGACGCACATATGCAGTAAGGCGGAATCATTGACTACATCAGGAAATATCAACTCTTTTACGGCCAGTATGACGGTGAGATAGTGGTTCAAAATCAAATGTCACGTACCGGAGACCTTAGATTCCGTAGTCCCGTTGCTGTCTGAGGATTCTGAAAGTGTGAAACTTTTACGCACCACAGTTACCTTCTTTATCACCGCTTTGATCAGGACCTTCTAAGGATATAAGTAAAATTGCCGCAAAGTACTAACCATCAGCAATTTTCTCAGGAATGTCCACAACTTTAGCTTTCTTAACGATCGGTTCTTCGGTCTGACCGTTTGACGTAGCATCGCCATTCTCAGTACCATCACCTTTAGACCTTCGCTTTAAATCGTCAACTTTTGAAACATTGTCCTCAGAAACAGGCTAAGTTAAATATCACCTCGTATAGGAGGCTTACGTGAGCAGGTTCAACAATAACACCGTCAGACTCCATGGCAGCACGCTATCGGCGAGAACGGGCGCAAACTACTGGTGTGCGCCATCATGGCGAAAGTCAAGCAAAGCGACAAAACAAAGCAACTTATCACAGCATGAAATTAGGCCCAATACCGAAATTGGATTTAATGTCAATCCTATTAAGGCCTTTTGATGTGCTTGAAAGTGCAATTATGTGAGCCTATATTTCGTTGAACAGGCGCAAGTTTAAGTCAAGCATTGAATGTGCTTTCATACACTGGTGACAGGGGACAATTGCTTGATTATTTCATTCTATGAGCACCGTTGCTTCAAGGAAATAATTTAGAAACGTGCTTTGTGTCAGATCGGTCAAATCGGTCAAATTTTCTCTTATCCACCTGCAGCTGCCACGGGTAACACGACGGGCGTTTGGGTGCGCCGTTTCTCTTTGGATCTTTTGGCAAAGGAAGGTGTTCGAACTTCATTTACTTGGAGATTCGGCTGCTAAATATTTGGAATTTTTCAAGCACAAGGCACGATGGCGTCCAAATGCTTGGATTGTGTTAAAGGAGTTACCGCAATATCGAAGGCTGTGCAATGCTCTCTCTGTGATGGGTGGCTACACATTTCCTGCTGCGACATCAGTCCAGATCTTTATGATTACCTCCAGAGGATCACCTCCTCAGCTATCAGTTTCCATTGTGACTCTTGTCGAACTGTATTGAGCGATAGACGGGTGTTGAACTTAGTCCACGCACAAGGCTCGATTCGCTGCATGAGTGGTCGATCAGGTGTCAATTACCCATAAATCACGATAAATGTTCCGTTCTTCCGATCGGTGCCTCCGAACCATTTGGAGTTTATCATATCGGTGGGTTTTTGCTGCCGAACTCTAATCGTGAGAGGGACCTCGGCGTCATTGTGACCCCAGACCTAAAATCGACCGAAGATACCTTGAGGAAAGTCGCTTCTGCCAACAGGTTGTTTTTCGCCATCCGACGATCCTTCTCTCGCTTGACTCCGGAGATATTCAGGCTCCTGTTCACTTCTCATATACGTCCGATTCTTGAGTATGGACTGCCCGCTGTTTATCCTCTTTCCAAATTTGAATGCAACTTGATTGTAAAGGTTCAGCGGAGAGGATCTAAATCCGTTCTGGAATTACGGAACCTACCTTACTCGCATCGTCTCCAGTGCCTGAACTTGTTCTCCCTAGCCTACCGTCGAGATCGCGGGGGTTTGATTTTCACAAGGCGTATCGTTAGAGGGGAACTTGGAGTTGAATTGCAGAATTTCTTTCCACTAAATTCTTTCAGTTCGACTCGGGGTCACCATTGGAAATTGTTTAAACAAAGGAGACTTCGGGTCCGTTGTGATGTCACTCTGTCTACCAGAGTAGTGAATGAATGGAATAATCTACCTGTGTGTGCCGTTGATGCGCAGTCGAAGGAATGTTTCAAACATCCATTGGATGCTTACCTGTTGAGTAAATCGGATCTTGTTGCTTCTTGTGTCAATGCAGCGGTTCCATTGGAACCGACTTGCAATGTCCACCTTGATCCATGTGACGAACGGAAGGCGATGGAGCTGACAAAGGATTTTTCCTTCTGCTCTCTACATTCCAATGTTCCACTGTTCCAATGTTTAGCCCACGATCCATTCCTACTCAAACTGAGAACTGAGATCTGCCCAGCAAATCTCTGGGAGGTTGAAGTCGCCTATCACCAAACACTTATTTGCGGGCTGGGAGCGAATGAGTTCAAGTACCTCTTTGGATACGCTCCCAGGGCTTCTATACACAATTACAACTGTAACCTGAGCCGAGGATGTGCTAATAACAGCCGATAGAGCTTCAACAGTTTTGTCTGCCGACTGAAATAAGCAAGTCTTCAAAACGTCAAGTTTACAGCTCACATAAAGAGCGACGCCCCCTCCCTGTCGGCCAGCAGAGCGATCGCATCTAAATAGTGCGTAGCCAGATAGATGTACTTCACCATCCGTGATGTCCTGAGACAGCCACGTTTCAGTGAATGCGAGTATATCGCGATGAGACCCATCTACAAGCAGACCTAAATCGTACACCTTATTCCTTAGGCTGCGCACATTACTTAGCACTATCTGAAGTTTTTCGTTAGATCCAGGCCTGGGTCGTGCGCTACCAGTACTGGCACTGGTAGGGCGGAAAAGGACCGCCGGCTGACCACCCGAAAACCCACTAACCGGAGACCTTGTTCACCGGCCGAGAGACCTTGTTCAATGAGAGTCGCTGATGTGGGACAGTATCAAATGCTTTCGAGAAGTCAACGAAAAGCACGTTGATGGCGTGGCCGTTGTCTACTGCCTCAGCCCAGCTTTCACGAGCTACAAGCAAATTTGTCAGACATGCAAATCCCTTACGGAATCCGTGCTGGGCCGCACTGAGAAGGTTAAACTTAATCAGGTGATTCTCCACCGAATCCCTGACCAATTTTTCAAACAACTTAACTACTACGCTTGTTAAGCTGACAGGCCGGTAGTTCGCGGGCAGAACTCCGTCCCCGCCATTAAAACTCGGACAGATGATTGCCTTCTTCCATTCAGAAGGTAAGGCACAGCTGTCGAGTGATATTGTAAACATGCATGTCAGAGGGCCACTGTCACCTTTCCTCTTCAACTTCGCTATTGATGAAGTCATGGAAACAGCGTTCGCTGGACACGACCTAGAAGGTGTGGAGCTACTCCCTGGTGAGCGACTTCTTGACTTGGAGTATGCAGACGATATTGCCCTAATCTGTGACAGCTCCCAAACATGCCAAACAGCACTT